TCTCGCTCTGCTGTGAATCTCACTATCATCATAAAAACCACGACCACTCTGTCAAGAGTACGACTTAAGAGAGATTTTTTGCTAATAACATATAGGAGTCTCCACTTAAATGTTTTTTTTTTCATCCATAACTGTATCTTAAATAGAAAAGTAATCCTTTTTTATAATTTCTATTTAATGACTCCTATGATGGTATATATTGTTTTATGGTCCCGGTATAAAATACGCCACCCCTTCCTATCCCGTGGGTGTCTCGTAAGAGGCGACTAAGGTAGGGCGAGTGATGAGCGGTCGCGTCTTTCTTAAAACATCTCCAAGGCCTAACTGCGGTTGCTAATCCGCCTGCCAAGCGTGATAACCACTGGTAAAACCCCCTTGTGGGGAGGCTTATGTTCAGCAGTGGCCAGTTAAAGGCTGAGATGATGATGATGACGGTATAATGTAGTGATCTCACCTTACAATGGTGGAGATTCGATTCTCCCGCAATACAAACATTAAGTTTATTCATGAACAAGCGGATTTTCAGCCATGAACCTACTGTGTTTGTACTGTGTTTGTATGTCTGTGTTTTGGTTTGACGGGTTGGTTGTACGGAGGCATAACATCGTATCCCTCAGGAATCGCAACGCATGAGCGGTACCATGAGCATCATAGTGTACTTTGTAATATCCATGGTTGGACGAAAGATGAACAGGACATCTTTGTAGATAACGGTTACCACTTTCCATGAGGTGGGCCGTCAGCTTATTTGCTATTCTAGTATCATAAAAAAGATTCTTGATCTTTAATTTGCACGTTCTTTTTTTCTAATTTAAATAAATATTTAGATATCCTTTACTAATAAGTATTCTATCTATACCTGAGCTTTAAGATCTACTTAGTTATATAATCTTAATAAGATTAACTGACAAAAAAAGACAAAAATATTTAATTTTCACTAAAGCACCTCGTAAAATACAAAGTAATTTTAGTATAAATGTGTGCTTATAAGAATGGGTGAATTTAAATCATTTTGAAATGCACCCAGGGGTTAACAATGCAGTTGCTAGAATTCGAGGCTTGCAAGTTGCCATAATGGGCCCCATCTGTCTTATAAAGCATCGCATTTAAGTCGCGTTCAGGCTTCGCGCCTGTCTCTGTGTAAGCATTTTATTCTTGCACTTTTTTTCTGACACAAATAACTAGTGACGCTTCTTTCGAAGGCATTGCAATTTGTAGATGTATTAAATTTTGTGATGTAACTAGAAGTCTTTGTTTTCTGTAAATATAAGCAATGTCCGAGAATACTTCCGCGTGACTGGAATACAATTATTGATTGACCGGGGTCCAATGCTCGATTTTTCATCCGTGTAACATAGAGAACCCTAACAACTCAACCAAACGTACGTAATCAAAATCAATAGAAACACACACACTGAACACGAAATGCAATCAAATTGCTTAACAAGAGAATGAGTTGAGAAAAAGACAGCTTTTTATAAATCCTGCATCTAGTATGATGTAATGAATAGAAACCTTGTAATCGAAGAGAATTAACTCTAAAGTACTAGGCACCAATTTAATTTTGTATTAAATATGTCAAGAGAAATCTTTAGAAACTAAAAAAAAATTAAACGTGTTAACAAAGACACCATCGTCTAAAAACCTCAAATATAATCTAATTTAGAACACCTATAAACATGTATATAATACATACCATATACATAACTACAGCACAGAATATGCAGGCTAATAAGGCACCTCCTGTAGAGGCAGACGTGCGTACTACCCAATTCCCACCCGTGCTCTCCGAGCTCTCATATTTTGGGTCACGTTTTTGCCGGAGGAGGCAATTTCTGCTATACCTGCCTCGATCATAATAAAGTTTCATTATGTTTAGTTTTAATTACCGAATTATACCTACTGTGTGGAATAAAACAAGTGAATTTTTAGTAATAGAGTCCAAACGGTGCATTGTTAGCAATACACCGTGACAAATCTACTTCCACGTAGTCCCTCCTGAAAACCATCATGGTCAGTTCTTAGTCAGTTCATCACGATGGGCTGACTGACCTAACTTTATCCTCACTTATCGTCGTTTATTGACTTACCTATGAAAATAATCATAGTAAATAATTTTTATTCAAGTAAACTTAATGACAAGCATTTTTGAATAGTCTTTATTTTACAAAGCTATAATCGATTACAGTATTTCTGAATAGACCAATCCCTACTAGAAGCACCCGTTCACGAGTATGACGGATGTCATCGTTGTGTTCAACCATATTATAAGGGAGCCCAACGACCCAGCTCACCTCGTCGCCACCAATCTGTATTGGACTTGTTTCAAGATGCGCAATCACGTTAAAAATATCGATACTAAATTCAATGACAAACAGAATACCTAATCATCACAAAATTAAATAGTTATTTAAATAATTAATTCAATAACCTTGTCAATTTAAAGAAAAAATACTAGTCAGTAAATACTAGTCAATATTTTACAAAATAAACAATGTCAGCAACTTTAAACGGCATCTTATTTTGATTATATCTTATTCTTATTATTGAGTTTTTATTTAAAGAAACTACATTAATAAAGATGTGTAATTTTTAAATAAGTTTATTTATATCATTAAAAATAAAAATTAATTGTTCAAATGAACACACTAAAAATCATTCCTTCACTGTGTCCCTACCTCCAAATTCAAGCATGCAAATATCTAGTTTCTTAGAAAATACAGTTATTTTTACTTACAATTATTTATATACATATATTAATATGGACTGTAAATAAATTAATTATAAAAATATTTAAAAAAACTGCAAACATAAATAAATGAATTTTTTAATTTGTGCTTAAAAATGTACTCATTCCCTCGCAAATTTTTTACACTGAAATTTTAAAATGTATTGAAGGTTGTTTTTATATTTTTAAATGTTGACAATATTTCTTTAAACGATAAACTATGAAATATGTTTTTGTTTTTAAGTCATTGAAAATGGCTACAAGTGTATATATATCAATTTTCATTACGTGAATGACACATGAACCACGCAAAGAACGACGAAAGCAAAACGCACATACATATTTTTCTACTCTTTGCTTCCTTATCTCAGCTTCTTTTTTGCTGCCTTTATTCATATCCTTTATATACCGCTACACGGTTTATAAATACTAAAAGTGCCATAAAATTTACCTAATTTTTCGCAAACTCATTCCACTTTTTTTCAAAAATTTCTGTAGTAATTTAATTTCTCCAAAATTTTTTGAACAGATAATTTTTACGCAAAATTTCCAAAAAAGTATCCACTCTAGCAACGCTGAGTTGTCGTTCAGCAATGCATAAAGTTACCTACCAGAAAGTTTAGCGCGAGATTAGTATTTACGTAAAAAGATTTAAACTATTCATCTATTAATTTTGCAATAATGGGGCATTTTTGACCTACAGGTTTGGAATTTTTATTTCTACTGACATTTCAATATTGGTATACAAAGATTTTTAAGCATATGCGAAGGAAAAATCTTAAGAAAAGATTCATTGAAGATTTGATTGAAGTGTTTCTTAGGCTTAGATTATATAGATAGAGCCTCGAATCTAACTCGTTAACCAATAAAATATTGGTGTTTTAAAATAGGACTCTTTTAGAAAGATCCACCATACTGACAAAGAAAGTCTTTATTAAAAAACTTTTTACCTTGCGTTTTTTCAAAAAATGCAAGGTTTTACTTGATTGGAATGAAAATAAGTAATAAATCTATTATGAATAAGCACTATCCTTATGTTGACAATAATGAAAATATATCTATGCAATCATAGATGTACCAATAAAACAAATAAAAACTCATACTGTTGCACAACTATTTATAATATCTCTTATCCAAAACTTTTATATTGATAAATATCATAAAAGACCTAGCTAGTTAATTATATAAATACTTCAAATGTAAGCAACTGGTTGCATAGATTTCATTAGAAGCATTAATAGTACTAATACTTTTTTTAATCGGAGTGACCCCCGTCTGGCTATTTGTGCTTGAATTCTGAAGGAAACGTCAAAATCAGCTTAAAACTTGTAAACGTCAGTTAGCATTGCCAGATTGGGTAATATTTTCTCAATTTTAAGTAAAAAATATTATTAGATAGAAATTTTAGAAAAATTAAATTCTTGGAGAAATATTTAGAGTTTAGAAATTGTAGATCGATAAAAATTTGTGATTTTTTTTTTTTTATACCACTGAGGTGGCAAACAAGCATACGGCCCACCTGATGGTAAGCGGTTACCGTAGCCTATGAACGCCTGCAATACCAGAGGTATTACGCGCGCGTTACCGACCCTGAAGAAACCTCTTTACCCCCCTTTTGAAGAACCCCATGCTGTAGTCTCTCGGGTAAACCTAGGCAGGGAGCTCATTCCATAACCTGAGTGTTCGTGGGAGAAAGCATCTCTGAAACCGCGTTGTACGCGACCATTTAGGCTGTAAGGTATGAGGGTGAACTCCCTGCCGATGGCGAGCCGTACGATGATAGAAAGTGGCCGTAGGCATCATATTGAATAATTCCTCTGAGCACAATCCGTTGTATAAGCGGTAGAACACGCAGAGTGAGGCAAAATCTCTCCTAAGACTTAAGGGTTCGATACCGCTTGCAAGCATGGGATCATCGACAATTCTCATAGCTCGTCGTTGCACTGAGTCGAAGGGTTCAAGCTGGTATCTAGGTGCTCCCGCCCATAAGTGACAGCAATACTCCATATGGGGCCGGATTTGCGATTTGTAATTTTGTAATTTGTGATTGGATAAAATGAAGAAATTCGTATAGAATTTTTGAAAAATGATATGGCGCGTTACATAAGAGCAAAGGAAGGATAAAAAAAACTTTAAAAAATACATTATTTAATACTTGAACGTCCCTAAACTCGCAGATATAAAAAAAAGTATTTAACGTTAATATCGATTTGGAAAAAAAAATTACGTTTGGGTAAAAATAAAAATTGTTATCTGGCAATCCTGGTTAGTATGTGTCAAAGTCAAATAAATATGAAGATTCGTCACTTTTATTAACTCACGTTGTATTTTATTAGAATTTTAATGCAATTCAACACATCTTGTTGTGATTATAATAACTACAGTTCTTCAGCATAATTGTGCGGTAACGTTAAATATAATATTCTGTTAATAAATAAAAATGCGGCTTGTAGATGCAACAAAACTTTCGCAACTTCAAAACAAACCCAAAAATATTCGAAATATTTGTATTGTGGCACATGTGGACCATGGGAAAACAACATTGGCCGATTCTTTAATATCCAGCAATGGTATCATATCACAGAGAATGTCAGGGAAGCTCAGATACATGGACAGCAGGCCAGATGAGCAAGAGAGAGGTATAACTATGAAAAGCAGCAGTATTGCTCTATACCATGCTACAAATGAAGAAGAATACTTGGTAAACCTTATAGATTCACCTGGACATATAGACTTTTCCAGTGAAGTATCAACAGCAGTCAGATTGTGTGATGGAGCTATAGTTGTTGTAAGTAAACATTTGTGTAGACTACATTGTGGTACTTCTTATTAACAATATTTATCTCTATTTATGACTATATTCTAATATAAATGTTGATTTCCTTTTCTATTAATGTACACTGTTCATTATCTAATCTTTTGGATTTTATATAAAATCTTTTCTACTTTTTTTATATGCATATTATAATTTATTTTGATGTAAGCCAAAATAAATTGCAGCTGAAGAAGAATTGTTAACTTATTTAGAAAATTCATTTTATTAAAATGTTTTCATGTATGGTTCTTTATGATGTAATAGGTATAAATTGCATGTACATACAATTTATACTGATTACACCATATTACACCATCTTGCTTCGTCGACTATTGTAACCACAGATATATATAATTTTATATATATTTTATATCAGTACTCACAATAAATCTACCACAATAAAAAATTGCAATACTTATTAAGAGAACAATGTCAACAAGACTTTTTTTATTTTATAAAAACTAATTAAATAATCAAAATAAAAGATTTTTTTTTAAAAAAACACAGTAATCAATTTTTAATTGTAATATATTTTTTCACAATTTCAGGTCGATGTTGTAGAAGGTGTATGCCCACAAACAAGATTAGCACTCAAACAGGCATACTCGGAGAATATTCGTGCAGTACTTGTACTGAACAAAATAGACAGGCTCATATTAGAAATGCAATTGACACCATTAGATGCATATGTACATTTGACTCAACTATTAGAACAAGTTAATGCTGTTATGGGAGAATTATTTTCCACAGAAGTATTTGAAAATGAAAATACTAGTATACAGAAACAGGTAAGACAGTTTATATAAATATTATAACAAATTATATTTATTATTATTATGTACTGTCATTATATGATAGTAATTGTCTTAGAGTGCTTTGGATAATGTAAATCTGTACTGTAAATTTGGCAGTTGCTGTTTATAATTTTCTTATCAGTTTTCCTTTTTATTAAATATTTCAATTATCAAATTCATGTCTTAGCCAATTATAAAAAGATAAATTCTTTTACTTCCTGCCTTTGCCTACTTCAAATGAATCACCCTTGTAAGTCAAGAAAATAAGACCAAATCTTCACTGTCTTCTATCCCACTCTCTCACTTTTTATATGTAGATTTTTTAACCCAAATTTTTCACTTTTTCATATAATTTTTCGAACATTTTCTTTATTTAATTTTACAATTACAAAAAATTAAACAAATAATTAATAGGTGCAGCTGTTCTGAAGTGATGCCCTTGCATGTTTGACCATTGATGAATGTATGTTTATTAACCAAATATAGATAAATCTAATTTAACCAAAATAAGCTGTCCTCATACCAATAATGAAATTTTTGTAAATTGGGTGGTATCATATCATATTGCTTCTATATTCTAGTAGAGTAAGAATACATGTCACTACAAATTTCTTTAAGAGGTGACCCCGGGAGCAAATCACCACATGCCTTTAGTAAAGATATTAACTTTTTTGAGGTATCTATATTGTTTTCTAAATTACACCTACAGAAAGAACAACAGCCAGTTCAAGAAGATAAGGACTACTATGATTGGACATCAGCCTTAGAAGAAGCAGATGACTCCACCCTATACTTTTCACCAGAACAGGGGAATGTTGTTTTTGCCAGTGCTATTGATGGATGGGGATTCACCATCCATACTTTTGCTAAATTATTTTCTACAAAACTTGGTAAGAATTTCATAGTCTAAGGTGAATTCATATAATATCAAAAAAATTACCCTACCTTTGAATGGATAATCAAACCACCACAAAGGTTTTTATTTTAAATATAAATTATTGTTGACAAACACGAGTATCTTTAAGTAATTTAATTAATCCGTAAATAAAATTATAAATATGAGTATTATAACTGAGTTTGGTGGTACTTCCTCATGCCTTAATAGCTCTGCCTATTATCATGAAAAACATCATGTACATTGTATTTAACATAAAGAAAAATATATTTTTAATCCAGGATAATCAATATGTTACAGATCCCTTTTTAATAGATAAAAAATGTCAGTGCACTAGTTTTCTATAACTTTTTATTGCAATATATGATAATAATTCTTATTTATAAATAACATTAATTTTCTTTCTTACTTATGTGATAATTTATTAAATATTGATAAATGTATTTTATAATTACAGGAATCAAAGAAGACCTACTAAGAAAAGTACTTTGGGGTGATTTCTATTTAAATACAAAAACTAAACGTGTAATGAAAGGTGCACAAGAGAAAGCTAAAAAACCACTGTTTGTACAAGTAATACTGGATAACCTTTGGAATATTTATGAAACAATAGTAACTAGAAATGAGAAAGAGAAAGTATCAGTGATGTGTGAAAAATTAGGCATCAAACTTACTGCTAGAGATCTTAGACATACAGACACAAGAATTCAACTTCAATCACTCATGATGCAGTGGATTCCTCTATCGCAAACTATACTCAATATGGTGTGTGAAAAACTTCCATCGCCAAAAGAGATTATACCCGATAAAGTTGAGAAACTCATGTGTTCAGGTATAGGAGACTTTGAGGCATTGCATCCTGAAACACAAAAGCTTAAAAAGGACTTCTTAGACTGTGATAGTAATAGTGATAAACCTGTTATTATTTTTATATCGAAAATGTTTGGTGTAGATAAAAGTGCGCTACCAGAAAATAAACCGAAGTCTTTGACAGAAGATGAGATGGCTGTTAGAAGAGAGAGAGCTAGGCAGTTGCGTGAACAGCAGAAACTTAATAATACTACTACAGAACCTGTTTCAATTAATGAACAAAAAAAGGAAAATATTAAAGAAGATATTGAAGATAAAACAGAAGATAACCAGGAATTAGATGACAAAGAGCAGCCCGCGTTTATAGCTTTCGCTAGAATTTTTAGTGGTAAAGTCAAAAGAGGTGATAAAGTATATGTTTTAGGACCTAAACATGACCCGTCCAAAGTACTTAGTAGTAAAGATTATAAAATAGATTATGATAAGAAATTAAAAGATTTGAATAGTGATGAACACATTACATGTGCTGAGTAAGTATTTAAAACTATTTATATCATTATTTATTTTAAAGATATTATTCTCGAATGTTAAAAATTAATATTTCTTTCTATTTCAGAATCAAATCTTTGTACATTTTAATGGGAAGAGACTTGGAAAGTATAGATGAAGCTATTGCTGGCAATATTATAGGTTAGTGATTATATTTTTATTAATATTTACCAGCCTTGGTGATGAAGAAATTTCAATTGTATTATACTAGTATGTTTGTTCATATTAGATTGAGCATTTCAATCTTAATATGTATGTACAAATGTATGTATGTTATTTTCAATAAATCTATTTAGGTATATGTTATGTTTCAGAATATATATTTTTTTTTAATATATTTGGTAAAAAACATCATAAATATATCATAGTTTGAATTGCAAAAATAAGAATACCTGCTTATATTTTTATACTAGTTGTTTACTGCAGCTTTATCTTCCTGAAAACCTCAAAATTTACCCTTGTACCCATAGGAATTGCTACAAATCCTTTCTTGATGAGAATTTCTATACCATAAAGAAAACTATATTCAGAATGTCTTTCTATATTTTCTAATCTCAGCAGATTATACTATTTCACTTACAGCCGGTATGTTGGTAGTTCAGTCAATGTGTTACAAGTTTTTTATACATACATATAAAATATACACATAAAAATACCAGAGATATATTTTACATTGCAAGGATACAATAACCCTTTATTATTTGACGTTACAGGCATAGGTGGTCTAGAAGAACATGTGTTGAAAACTGCAACACTCAGTAGCACAATAGCTTGTCCAGCATTCAGTGAGTTACAATATGCAGCTGTCCCGATTCTCAGGGTGGCTGTTGAGCCGACGGTACCTTCACAATTGCAACAACTAGTCAAAGGTATGAGAATTTATAAATTAATTGATATATAATTGTTATTTTGTTATTATATATTCATATATATAGGAAATTTTTATTAGCACTTTTATTTATTATAATTGTCCTAGCACACCTCTTCTAGGCCCTTTTTACTTACCATTCTATTACTTTTCATTCATGTTGTATAGAGTTTCTCATATCTTCATTATTAATATAATATTATTTAATTATGTTTATATATGTTAATTTATATATGTTTTAAAAAACTAATTAGGCATAAAGGCCTAATTAGTTTTTTGTTTAACCTATATATTAGATAATATGTTTATTATATGCGATCTGATTTTGATGTTGTATCTTTTAATCGAAATTACATGTTCATCCTATGGGATTTTATTTCAAGTTGAAGGATTCTTTTGGAATAAAATCTTTAATTATACTTTCAGAAATCTTTCATCTTTTTTTTTATTAAAAAAGCAAATTACTTATGTACCTAATTCATCATTTAATATTTCTATTTACAGGTCTCAAACTCTTGAATCAATCAGATTCCTGTGTCCAAGTGCTGTTGCAAGAGACAGGTGAACATGTTTTAGTCACAGCCGGTGAGGTTCACCTAGAAAGATGTCTCGAAGATTTAAAGTAAGTACATTTCTCTTACATTTCATTCACCTAAATATTGTAAATTTCATAATATGATCAATGATAAAGTGCTATTTTCTAAATTATATTTTGTTGTAGAAACGTAAAATTTAAATAATAATATATAGTTTGTTTAATGGTCAATTTTCTTTGAAATTCTTAAAAACCCGTCAAATATATCATCACATTCTGTGTAGATTATTTTAGCAAACTATTAATTAGATGAATTGTATTGATTACAAGATGGGTTTATGTTTGACCTTGCCTCATCTACATGTAAATTACTCAATCCCCTCTACACTTATACATCTTTTATAAATATAACCAATTAATAAAATATGTATGTATGTAAATACATATACTCATTGTCAATTCTTCTTCTCTTTACTTTCCATATTAGCTGATTCTTCTGTAGGTCTAAATTAATTGTCTGTTTGTGTTTTCTAGGAAACATTACGCGAAGATACCAATCACTGTCTCCGAACCTATAGTTCCATTCAGAGAAACTATAGTAGAACCACCAAAAATAGACATGGCTAACGAAGAAATTGACGCACAGAATGTAGACAAAAGTAATAAAAAAGAGGAAAACCCGGTTATCACAGTGTATACAAATAATAAACAGAGTAGAATAAAAATAAGAGCTAAACCCATACCAAATGAAATAACGGCCCTATTGGATAAATCAGCAGACCTCCTTAAAGCAATATCACAACATATAAAAAATCTACAAAGTATTTCAAATAAGCAACAATTAGAAACAAAATTAGAAGGATTGTATCTAAATGGTACAAAACATAAGTTGTCGGATCGCATGTTAAAACTAATTCAAATTTTCAAAGATGAATTACAAAGCGTATGTTCTAAGTTAGGTCCTGAATGGAAAGACTTTGTTGATCAAATTTGGTCCTCAGGGCCTAGAAATTGCGGTCCAAATTTACTTCTAAATCATACTACTGATTATAGCACAAAGTTTCTTCACCACGAAAAAGAAATTAAAGATGATCCTAGACTTGAATATGAAAGTAGTTTTGTAAATGGATTCCAATTGGCTACTTTGGCTGGACCGTTATGTGACGAGCCAATGATGGGTGTAGCTTTTTGCGTTGAAGAATGGACGTTAAATAAAAATCAGGGAGATGATTCCTCACAAGCCTTTGGACCCCTATCAGGTATTTATATTTATTTCTTTAACTCTTTATTGCACCAGAACCATAAAAATAAACAACGACATATAAACAATTCAAGTGAAATACAGTAACATAAAATATATACATAAAGCTACAAAAGGCGGTCTTATCGCCAGTGCAATCTCTTACAGACAATCTTTGGTTAAATGAAAACATATAGAAGGTATGAAATATCAACGGAATTAATTTAACAAATTTTTGTAATGACAAAAAAGGTATTGTAATACCAATGCTGCATGAAATTGTGTGACTGTCGAGTACTATCGGCACCGATTCGCGCCTGTAGGCTCAGTTTGCTTTCACTTGTCAAGCTATTTTTCTGCTCAGTTCTCTATTAGCTTAGCGGATAATTTTAATGATAAATTAGAAAGACTTCAATTTTTTTTTAATTATTAAGTTTGTAATATGAACGTAAGGCTTACTGTACATTTTGGGAAACGGTAAGTGAAGTGTGCAATTTATTAAATAAATTAATAAAACACAATACACTTCTGTAATCTTTAGCTGTCGTTTTTATTACTTACCAATATATTTTTTATGCAACTTAAATTGGCAAACAAGCTGACGGTCCACCTGATTGAAACTGGTAGCCGTCGCCTATAGACATGAGCAGTACCCGAATACATTTTGATTGTGGGCTAAATCAGTGACTCATAAATGTCTGAATGGATTTTATTGAAATCTGATACATCATAATTTAAAGTAGACAATGTCCCAGATTAACATTAACATTAACCTATATAATTAGTTCAAACAAAAACTGTAAATGATATAAATGTCTTTAAATGTTTGTTGCTCAATCACACAATCGTTTGTAGGTCAAATAATGTCAGCAGTAAAAGATGGATGCAGAAAGGCGTTCCAAGCACAACCTCAGAGGATAATGGCCGCTATGTACTCTTGTGATATTGTAGTGGACCAAAAAGTATTAGGTAAGTGCATAGATTTTTTTTTTTGTGGATAAAACCATTCACCGGGAATTAATCAAAATGAACCTTCAGGGAGAATCTATCATGGTATTTGTTGGAGGAATGGCAAACAAGCAGACGGCTCACTTCATGGAAAGTGGTAGCCGTCGCCTACAGACATGAACACCACCATGAATATTACAAAAATGTGCATGGTACACCTCATGGAATACCATTCTTGAGAATTGATGTGTTATGCTTCCACACTCTCATTTTACTACTATTTCATCATGTATAAAATGATATTTATTAGCTAAAGGGTTTCAGCATATTTGTGAAAAAAGCCTACCAACAGCTAAATATCTGGTAAGAAAATGTTTCGTAACAAATGAGTACACATTTTATGTAAAATTCAGTTAGATTTATTATTCATAATTACAAATATTGTAATTGTTGCTACTATTTACATCGTAAACTGCTAAGTATAAATATGGTTTACTTAAATAAATACTGAATTTGTTACAACTAAGTCTTAAAAAACTATAAATGCATCAAAATTACACAAAAACCATTGAATCTCTTATCACATTGTCTTGTGTACATTCTAATATTAATATGTATCAGTAAACGATATCATGGTTAAAACAATCTCCATACGTTGGTGGGGAAGCATTTGTTTCAAATCTTTTTGATCGCAATTTTTTTTCTATTACTTATATCCTATAATCATCATAACTACTACATTCTGGCAAATATTATAAAATCTTAATTAATCGATGAACGTTTTATAATCTACCATAACACGACACGGTACGGCATGGCCCGGTTTTATCGTTTTTGTTACTCTCCTGTATACACAGAACAAATTTAAATAAGAAGATACTTAATTTTCTGTTCATATCATGGTAATGCACTGCATGAATGTATTGAAAGCTTTTACATACAATTGCATGCATTTTGCTCTCCTATTATATCACAACAATTAAAATCATGTTGTGCTACGATAAATTATAAAAACGCCCACGGCAAAAACTCAATTATTATATTTTCTTTCAGTAAACTTAGATCTATCAAAGTTCTTCTGTTGGCAACACTGATTTTACCCACGATTCTCACCACTCAATCAACACGTTTTCAATGTTGCCATTATGCCAATATTTTGATGTTAACAAGTGTACAATTATATGAGTAATAACTTTCATTTGATATATTGTGTGTTATATAAATTAATGCCACTTATACATTACGACATTTTTTTAATTCAATGTTGTTCGTGTCTACAGACGCCAAATCGTTTAATATTTCTAGCTAAAAGATTGCATATATTTTGTGCCTTCGTGTGTACTAAGTCTAAAATAGTTTATACTAATGAGATAAACATCGAGTTACATTGTAAGAACTTGAATAAAACTAAATGCAAATTTAGCTTATGAAGTAACAGAAACTACATTACTACATTCATTATGTAACCGAGCTAAAGCGTTTTGTGAAACATTAGTCTGAGTTAGGTACTCACTGCGCCATAATAATATATAAAGCTTATAATAAATTAAATTCAACGGTCACACATATAAATATCTGAAAAATTAATAAATTCGAAAAGTCACTGGACTTGCGTTTAGGCACCAAGCCAAAATGTACCTTGCGTTACACGCTCTAAAACTTATAATCAATGAAGTTTGCGTTGGATTCAAAGAGACAGTTTCTAGATGATTATAAATAAAGTCTCAATGAACCCAACATACTTCTCATATTCTAAAACGGAAACATATCTAAATCCAATGTAAAGATTTCGCTAACTCTTTCACTTTGTACCATGGAAAAGGGGGGTATTCTGATATCGATCTTCGGAATCGTGCCACTCTAGACCTTCTGTTGTAGTAGTTAGGTTCAGGATAGCTGTGGTATCGGTTATATACAGGCTTCTCGACGTATGAGTGTGGTTGAGAGTAGTCCACTTTGTACGCGCTGGTCGAACTTTGGATGCCGCTTGTGAATTTGTTTGCATTGAATCCTGAAGAGAAAATGTAATTTCATTAGATAATCAATGAATAAAAAGTCAGTTGATGCCCGGAGTTTGTTTTTTTTATACCATAAAGGTGGTAAACAAGCATACAACCCATCTGATGGTAAACGGTCACTGGAGCCTATGGACGCCTCAAACATCAGGGTTGTTATGTGCGCGTTAAACAACATTGTTGTATAACATTAAATAAACTAACAAATAAGAAGAGCCCAAATTTTTTACTGAGCATGTTCTAATCCAACCTCACGTTAGAACAAACCTGTTGAATTATTCAGTTCCGTTAACGCTATCATAATTTTACTAAATTTCCTATTTCTTTTAAAGAATTTTCACGTTATCTAAATATATCAAGCCTATCACACTATGAAGTTATTTCCCAAATATACTTACTATTTCTGTTTATAAAAATACAATTAAGGTAAGGTGGTAAACAAATCAACCGATAGAGAGGATTTAATAGACACTATTAATTTAGAAAAATATAAAACAATTTCTATTTAGGCTTAGTATTTGTTACTAATTTTTAAACAAATTACTACTATCGTCAATACTTCCTCCCACTTCATGAATCTATATAAACAAGATCTAAGATATTAAGTAACATTCTAGATTCATTATTCTTTATGTTCTATAGAGACCAAATATCTTGTTGTATATTTATATATATTAAATTAATTAATTACCTCTAGATAAATAAAATGTCGACAGCTTTTGGGAACAATATGCGACCCCCGAATGCCTTTCAGTTTGAAGGGCAAATAAATGATAAGGACAGGCTAAAATATATAGGGCTATTATTTTACCCTGTCATCCTCTATGGAGTTGAATGTATACATTACGACGATACATATCAATTACTTGCGACTATATGGGAATATTAAGAATGACAAGGAAAGTCATAATAAGAACACGGGTGAGTGTCGTGTGTTTTGCTTTTATATTTAGTAAACAATGTATACGTAACTTTTTATCCAATTTAGTCACTATAATAAAAAAGATAAAAAATAATAAACCTCGGGTACTAATATAAAGAGGTAAGATTAGATTTTTTTGTTTGTCGCATGGAGGTTAACCTGATAGGGTCGTATTGCTCGTCCCTCCCTCCTCCTCCCTATATATTATATATAGCATTAGATACTCCTTTTGCACAATATATGTAAGATTGGTCAATCTTTACTTCTGTATTAACATTATAAAGAGAAAAGATTTAATTATTTGTTTGTAATGGATAAACTACTAAACGGGTTTTAATAATTATTTCATCTATAGAAAGCTATATCATCAGTGAGTACCGTAGGTTATAGATTATTAAAAAAATAAATATTCCTACGAAAATTTTAATAATATAACCCAAAATATCAAAAAATTGCCTATTAAAGTAAAAAATATAAAATACTAATGTATAATTTTATTTATCCGTGCAAAGCCGGGTCAGATCACTAGTGTATTACCATTAATATAATGTATAACCATTTAATACAATAACCTTTTTGTATTTTATCTCTTTGTTAATATTGGCACGTCTTTTTATTGAAATAACAGTGTTCTATGAACTGTTATTCGATCAAAATTGTTTACTATCCAAGAATAAAGAAAACAGATTATATAAAAGCATATTATTTTTGAATAAACAAGTATTTTTACTGCTGTAAATGACAAACCACGACCACTTCATAAATGGTGGTAATCATAATAGGTATCATGGACAATACTTTATACCAAAATTTCTCTGACTACATAATATACAATGAACGTGAAAATACAGGAATTGTTTCTTGCAGAAATAGGTAAGGTAGTAGTGATAGTTAATCAGACAGGTAGCAAATGATGACACGTAATTTTACCACCAATATTAACACCACTAGATATAATTTGCAGACAACGAGAATTAGAAGTATATTCTTAGTAGTCACACCTTGGTATGAATAGTTCATGAGAGGCGTTTCATGTTATAAAAAACTAACAGATAGCGAAATACAATAAAAATAAATAAATATAGGGTACCTAGGATACCCTGTGTTATGAGAAACCAGGTCTCGAATTTCTGTAGACACTGCAGAACACCCAAACCGGAGCAAATTCAGAAAGGTTTGTTTCCTAACAACAACAACGTTTGGACAACGAACTCGGAACTTTATTTATGCGAAATAACGTGCGCATTAATGTGCTGCAGAATTCAAAATTGTGTAAAAGATGGGTGATAAAACGAAGAGTGAACTTAATAGCATCGACTGACAAAAAAATGAAAGAAAAAGAATTCGAAGGAGCCTCAGCTAGGTCATGGTCTTTTTCATGAAATAGCATGACTTACCAGCATTATAAGGAGTTGTAGGTCGTACGCAGACCATCCCATATACTCTAATCCCAGGCACAGACGCATAAGTCGGCTGGTCATGAGACATTGGCCCTTCTGTAATAAAGGAAAAACGTATATTAATCAATAATCTATCTATATTCACCTTAACACTCATATAATCATCATTATTATAGGCTTTTGGTGATGTTTTAAAAGGGACGAGGCTGCCAGTCCATCGATCTTAAGTCCCCTCAGTCGCCTCTTACGACACCCTCGGTAGAGGAAGATGTAGCCCATTCTATGCTGGGACCACACAGCAGCTCACTCACATAACACTACCATAGATTTCTTACAGCGTAGATAAACAAAATAAATTAGATACTTTTGTATAGTATTTTATGAAAACACTCTTTTTTTTACTGTTCGATCAAAAATTTGTCTAAAAATGTTTTTGCTGAGCTTTACAAATTTTTGTGTTTGAACAAATAAATAACTAAATAAAAGGAGAAACTGACTGACTAAGTAAACAGTGTATAATAATAAAAATCAACGCATAGCTAGAAATACTGTTGCATTTCGAAGCGTGAAATTTTGTATCCACAGTCGTGAATAAGAAGGATTTTCCAATATTCTCACGGGAACAACAAACATAGTCACAGAAAGCAGCTAATCATTCTATAGAAGATAATAAAACGAAATGAGTGCCTCGGTAATGTAGGTTAATTAAAAAGAATTTTTGAAACCTTCTCGTGACCGGATTACTAATACCTATGCAAAGTAAAAAAATCGTATTTGAATTTTTTGTTTCTTGATGATAATTGTTTAGTATTACCATTTCTTTCTCTATATTTTGTTTCACTCTTTACCGTATACATTATTTCTATACACATATGTGTATAGAAATAATGTATATGTTATATAGTTATATAACTAACACTACTAAAATTACATTGATTAAATAAAAACTAGATAATTACCTAGTATGTGATTCTCAGGACACCTGCAGATAACAAGATAGTGCGACTTGCCAGTCCTTATGTTTTGTAAAGCAAGTAATGACCAATCACGAGGAGAGCGGCATTCACGCATCTCGGACACTGCTTCGCAAGTCTTCACAAGCGTTACGGCTTTATGGGCATACTGTAAATCAAAAGTAAAAGCAATGTTACAAAAATTGAAGAAAATCTTCTAAATATAGGTATAGATGAAACAAAAACTTAATGTAATTTGTTCTACTGAAACTTGAAAAGGCAAGAGATTGGTTTATTAGAAAATGGAGTTATTGAAAACCCATGATATTTATAATTAAATTATAAAAATTACAAGTAATAAAACGCTATTCGATTTTCAATGTCCATTTGTCCAATACTTTGCAATCAAAACATTTAAAATGGTTATTTTTTTACTAAAAAAAACCTTTTGATAATCAGAGTGTGACATTTAAAATTTAAACGTATTATAATCTTATTACTCATATAATAAAAATAATTATCAAAATTAATATTATAAAATATTTTAATATAGTTCTTTTTCACAGTCAAGTGAAATGATTTTCATTACTAAACCATTTATGGTGTGCATAAATTTATTTGAAAGTGCATTTTGTATTATAAAGAACATTACAGTAACTACAAAATACAGATATTTTTAAATGTATTCTATGGTGTGCGTTACTATATTTATTTTTTTTTTATTTTTGGGTTCCGCGATTTATCAAGATCTCACCTGATCGAAAGTGACGATATGTTCTAAGATGAAACTGGCGGGTCCAGAAATAGCCTATTTATATTTGCCTTAAATTGGTCTAGATTATATGTGGTAGAAAAACATATTACAACGATATTCATTTGCTCGTCGTTTTTGTATGGCACCGAACAGTATTTTACTTTTTGAAAATGAAAAATAACCACAAAGCTAGAACTCCATAACGGCCTAATTTAATCTGGATAGAATTCAATTGTATAGCAGCTTATTCAGATACAATTTTATACTTGCCTTCTTTTTGGAATCTGTGGTAAGCCGCGTGGTATGCAGGTCGTCGGCGTTGAGGCTCGCAGAACATGGGTCGCGGTAGCGTGCCGGGCACGCGCACAATGGCTGTGTATAGTTCAAACGCACGTACACTGCATTGCAAACCTGCAAAATAAAACGCAAATCTTTATTCCAAGTAGTGATTTCTAGGAAATTCTTGTCAACCATTGTATTTAACGGAGAACCAAAGAAAATTCGTCTCGCATTTGTCTAAAAATACTGATCAAACCTAACTGTAAACTAGATTCATCTGATTCATCTTTGTTATTATATGATTTTGGCCAGTAGAGAAATATAATGAGATTGGCAGTGAAATTGATAAGCAACAATTAAATGTCAAATTTGTTACTATTAGATACTTGAAATTTTATTGCAAATTACTTACCTGCTGAATTGCACATTCTGGCAATAAATAGATGTGTTGATTGTGGGGATAGTAATGATACTTTGTCGGTTTAGCCAATACGGATGTAGATCCTGCTGGTAATGGCACCGTCTGAAAAAAGAATGATTTATGTTACACTGTCGTAAGGAGAGTTCAAGAAAGTTAATTATTAGTGAGCGAGATCAATTCTGCGGAACTGCGGAACGGAAATGTATGTATGTTGTTGTGTCAATTAATGTCTCTTGTCATTAGTTAGTCAGACACAAAGGCGAAGAAACGTGTCGAGGTCGACATACGAAAGAATCGGAGGTGATAGTACCTACATCTGAATCTTTCGTATTCATACCCACTGTTTATATGTCGGTCAGCGGTCAAATTAGTACATATGCACTTTGAAATATCTTGTATATCATCATCTTCATACCCTCATCCCACTTATTATTTAGGGTCGGCGTAATATGATTTTATCCATATTACTAAAGGATTTGGCTTATAATTTTACGACCCTCTTTGGAAATACATTTCAATTATCTTGTATAATTGCGTAAAATTTTAAACATTAATATAAGCTTCTTCAATCATTAGATTCGATGCATGTTATATGGATTATTCTTAAATCCGTTCACATTTTGTCCAAAATCTTACGCAACATTCAAAACATTTTTTGCAAAATTATCCAATTTTTATCGGTTAAAAGTTTAACGCCGAGTTTGTGGCTGTTTTGATGTAGCTGATATATCCGAAAGGAATCGTTCGTGCGCGATGATTCTTATTCGATACAATGTTTCACGGTCATGCACCTTACGATTTTATACCGATTACGTCGTCACGTCTCTAGATCAGGTTAATAAACCTGTTAAACGTTGATTATGTTCGATATTTTGTTTTTTTTTTTTTTGCACTTAATTAAGTTTTAAATAAGCGCTAATTTCATTGTAAATTTCTACTTGCGTAAAATTGAACTTATTGTCTGTAAATCGTACATAAACTACAAGGCTAATGATAAGCTATATAGTAAAAAACACCGTATCGTAGTTGTTTATTATTATTTCCAGTATTAGATGTGCATATGTACACAGCATACTTAATACAATACCGCTACCTACGTCTCAGTAATCTTTATTTTGTCATCGATTACAATGTACACCTGCTGTGAGATTTAATTTTGATAACTATCAGTCCTCTATAGATCTTTCTTCTCCATCTGCTCCAGTGACCTCTATATTGTCATCAGATGTTAATTCATAACAAAAGCTTTTTTGTATCTGTGCACTGTAATTTTTTTACTACACAGTTAGAAAAAAGTCTTCTTACCATTACATGCGACACTTCAGTTCCGATAACGAGATAACTGTAGCAAGTCGTATTTCTTACATTTAAATGAATGCATTTGGTTTTTTGCTGCCGATTCAATTTGTAACCGCCTTTAGAGGATAAATAGTAATTCGAAGCTTACGTATTGAGTATTGATATACGAAGATTTTTTTTTCGTATTCGGTCTTTGGTATTGAGTACGTTATTTAATTATTCTTTATACAACTAGTGACTTGTTCGAAATAGGACATGTTTATTTTTTTATACCATCGTAAGCTAAATATAATTACAAAAAATCGTGTTAGTATTGTATAAATTTCAATTAGGTACTCCTTTGCTTTTTATACGTGCAAATTGAACATCAAGATCTTTTAACCTTCACGTGTTGTGGGAAATTTCGGATATTCGTTAAATTTACTTTCTGTTTTTATTTAAAACTACACCAGCTTTCACTCTTTTCTATGAAATCACCGACCATTTTTATTGCCTTCTTTTTATTCACTTTTATTATTTTCATAGATTTAATTGTCAACTTTGTTACGTTTACTGTATCACTAATATTATGTTCACTGGCTTTAGGGCCTTAATTTAATGAAATCACTTTTGTATCACATGTGTACACAGATTCTTACCATTATCAAGCACAACACTTCTTGTAAAGCACGATTAAGGCGTAACATTGTCGTAGCGAGATAATAGTTTGGTTATAAGTTACTTCTCTTTTTGAGAGTCAGTACCGTACTGATTCTGTATTCGATAAGAGGCCATGCCGGCACAGATGAGTCAGGAGAGGGCAAGCGAGCCTGGATCCTCAGCCGTACATTTTTTTTCTACAAAAAGACAACGGATGTCACGTTCAAGTTGAACGATCGAGTTATGGTAGCAGCGGTTTTTGGAACTCGAACTAAGATTAACATGTATTATCTGTCGTAGAATTGTACCTATTTTCACACCGTTCCTTGAGGGTAAGCAAAGAGAACCGACTGCCAAAGGCTTCTATTCTTACATATATCTTTCGTTTCTTACACCTCATCTATCATCGAAATTTCAACTATACTTTTGGATATATTATCCTTTATTTATAAAAATCTATCCCTATCCTCTTTATTTAAAAAAATTTCTTTCTTTATTTTTATTCACCGAAATGCCAATGATAATCTTGTACGTATAAACTTAACTATTAAGTACAGTAGTTAATGTAATATTAGACAATTACTTTAAACAGGATATAATGTTGGTTCTACTAATGCAGCTAATACCATGGAAATCATCTTCGTCTAATCTATTAAGGTTTACTTATTAAATAATCCAGTTTCTTTTATGTGCTTTGCTTTGCTGTAGTGTTTTTAACGGTGTTCGTTAAAAAAAAACTACAGCAAAGCAATGCATACGGATATTTGGGCAAACAAATCCATTTTTACGCCAATTCTAAGAAGATGCTTCTCAATCCGTCTATATTTTTAAAGCAGTGTTTCGCAATTATATATTTTGAACAAATAGAGTTTACTTCTGAGTTGATTCCATTAATATTTTTGTGAAGATTGAAGCTCCCGTTTTTCTTTACGGCTCTGTTACGAAGCTTAAATATTTATTGACACACGAATCTGCGTTCTAAATTTAAATATTCACTTTGTAACATGCATTTTGTTTCTTTTTTTTTAGACGTTTTGTAATGGTTTTGTTATTACACCTACTCTCTTATAGATTTTAGTTTTCATGGATAATACTTAATACGAGTATAATTTATTTCCACAATAAATACTGATGCTACCAATATTGTAATAACATATACATTGATAGTAGTATTTAAAATATTGTGACAATTCTGCAATAGTGTAAAAGGAGTAACAAAAGTAGCATTCCTAGGATCCCTAGCCACTGAACTCTCTGACATTTGGTTTACAGTTCCTTGCTAGATCGCATCTCTTGACTTGGCAGTACTTTATTTGACACGGTTTCCATTGATTCACGTTATGATAACCATTAGAACTGACAGAAAGTGCCATAAGGCCAAATTCGGGGCAGGAGTGAGTTCACACGATATGTTTACCCTATATGGAAATCATGATCTCGATGTTACCGATACGTCATGACATAACGTGTTAAGATAACTGTCAATGTGTAAATTATATACATATTTTTATTAATATTATAAAAATGTGTCAGGAAGGTAAAACAGTGATGATGATGAAATGTGTCAAAAAAAAATTATTTGTTTGTTAACTCTAAGCGCCTTATTGACTCAACCAAACGTCATGAAATTTGCTAAAATAGAAGAGGACTAGTGCTTGCATTTGAATATTATTTCAGAATTAATAGAATTTCTATTCTATTCTAATCTGTGCTATTCGAATGTATTCGAATAATTTTGGACCTATATTTTTTTTATTAATAACGTTTTTTTATATTAATAAAATTAATTTGAACGAAGCGATTTTACCTTTACAGTGTTATCAAGGTAATAAGTCGCAATTAAAGATTGTACCCCACAAAAAAAACTCAACTTCAATTGTGACAAAACAATCTCTATCGTATTACATAGTGCAAGTGATAAACTCAATTCAAGAAAAATTAACGGGAGTTGCATAGATATATATCTTACAGTATGGCGTGGGAAGGTGGACATTAAAGTTATAAAATAAATTGTTATACTAATTACTTACACTTAATATGCATTAATTATTTCGACCTAAAGGTCAGTCAATGAATTCAACTTATTTAGCGTTCGGGAAGTTACGCCACATCTTCACGTTCAAAGTACCTCGAAGTTCTTAACCAAATAGCGCGTATTGTTTATAACTTACTAAACCCAAAATAAGTCTTAACTTTGAAAAACATCAGCAAATATATGGATTGAACTATCATCAGAGTTATGTTGCACCATCCTATCACCATATTTCATTAAAATTCCATCTGCATCCATTAAAAAAAACAGTGATCGACTCCCAGATCCATAAAAGAAATATAGAAGAAAGATTTTTAACAGGCGACTCCAAGTATATATTATATAGTATAATGTAGATCGACCTCAATTAGATGGAACAATGACCTTAAATACGACTATTCAAGAAGCTTATATTATGCAATGGATAGTAAATAGCAGAAAAAGTTATGATCATAATTCCAGCCGTTAATTGCCCACTGTTAAATATACACGTCCGCCATAGACTAGTATAAGGAAATTACTGTGGTATTGAATTTAGAGCCGACTCATTAACTAATAAACAGTGAAAACTGTATTTCTCTACATTGAACACGATCTTGTGTATAGTAATATAAATAAACCTATTTTTTTAAAACCATAACATAAATAAAATCTATGTGTAAGCCCTAATTCACACTGCTTAATGAAATGACATAAAAGGAACCTGTCGATCTAAGATAACATTTATGCACTGACTGCATCATCTTGATACTGAAGCATATAATCAGTAACTAGCGCATCAAGATACTCGTTTAATACTCGTATGTATATTGCCATCAATTAGCTTACGTTGATCGTTAGCCGTAATTTCGCGTGAACTGGGTACACCTACAATGGTTAACGTGCTGTGATTTTACCACACTTATTAATCTGGATGTATGAGGAACATAATAAAATAACTAAATAAGTAGTATAATACTAATAAAGTGTAGTCAGTTAACCTTAATGCATATAAATAGAGTTATAATATAAGTGAATAAATTCCGTCTTCGTTCTATCTACAACATTAAAGTTTATATATATTCACACGCACTCGTTTAAATTATTTTTCTATTTTTTTATTATTCTTGCTTAAAATGTCAACAAATTCTTA